AAAAAAAAAAAAAGGGAAAAAAAAAATTGATTTTAGTGAGGAACAACTGCTTGAATAAAATAAAAAACATTGAATTGTTTACTTTGAATAGATGAATTATATGATATGTGAACTGTATCTTAACAAAGCTGCTGTAAAATAAAGAGGACTGTGTAAGTACAGTACGCTCAAAATGATGCCATTTACCGTAACGATTCCTGGTACATAACCTTTGTTGCAAATAAAGACATTTAGAAACAACTATTTAATTGGCCCAAAATTAAGTGAGGGAAAAATAGTGTGAAATGCTGTCATTTCCTTTCCTCAATCACTACTCAAAAATCTTAAATTGAAGGAGAAAATGGCTTGGGCACAATTAGGCTCGTGTAGTTGACTCTGCATAGTGTTGATATTTACAATTTCATTGTTTTAGGTCCTAAACCTAGTTCAGTCTTATGTGACCCTTCGGGTCCCTCTGTATGTTTCCTACGTGTTCCATTCCCCCGTGGGGGCAGGAGGCTGGCAGCATTTTGACTTGAAGTCCGAGCTTCGTCTAACTTTTGTGTACGACACTGCCATCTTGTGGAACGAGGGGATTGGCAGCCCCCCAGAAGCCGAGCTCCAAGGTGGGTTAATAAAAATTGGAAAACTATTCTTACCTCTTTTAATTACTTAAGAGGATTTTTTTTTTTACTGTAGCTAAAAATAATAGAAACAACTTTCGATATATTTTCTCTTTCTATTCTTGTTATCTAAGATAATTTCTACCTTTGTCATAGAAAAACTGTTTTCACTAAATCATATCAATGCCTCAAATTTTTCATAGTATGTGATTTAAATGTACTTTTCTACATTTCATGGATATTTTACTCTTACAGTCTATCTTAGGTAATTAATCATTTATATGTTATACAACACAATCTATATATTTCACTGGGTTCTGGAAAATGGATAGAGGAAGTTCCAGTTGAAACTAAGGAATAAACCCAAAGGAAAAATGTTACACATTTTTGTTTCTGAAAATGAGAGGTGCATTTTAAAGTTCAGTATAAATTGTGTCCTGGATTCTAGTTCTGACTCTACAACCAACTGGCTGCGTGATCTTGAGCATCTTGCTTAACCTTTCCTGGACTTAACTTCCTCTGAATAATCGGCAAAACTTCTAATATCTCTTTCTATTTTAAAATTCTATTTATTCTGCAATACTTTAGCTGAATGTCTTGGAACAATGGTCATGATTCCGCTAACTATTGGACCCATCAGCATCTGCAAACTTTGCTTCAGTCTTCATGTCAGAATGATCCATAAGCATAAAGCCAATTAATTCATTAGTAGACTGAGTCCTCTTTCTTTTTAGACACATTTTACTGTTCTGGTTCCATGAATGTCCATAGCATCACACGAGCAGTACATCTTACTAGCCAGAAGGAAAATAGAGTTGAGAGTGCATCTCCAATATAAATCTTAAATGTATTAAAATCACATTAGAGCTGTGTGAAAGGTGATGGGATCCCTCTGAGGAATCATTCCAGATTATTTCAAATGTTTTAACTCCATATCTTGCCTTAGAAGATGCATATTTAATGAGATCCTTCCTGTGGTTCTCAACTTCTACCTAAGGATCTCTTGTTTCCTTCTTATATCTGGAGCCAAATTTTGTCAAACTGTTAAATTTCTTGGGAAAGTTTCAGTGTTGTCTTTAAGCCTATAAAATTTGGAATCATTCTGGAGAGCTCAAACCCTTTTCTCTTTTCATGTCCAAATCTCCACAATTTTGACAAGTTTGTTTGTCATGACTGTCAGCGTACAGCTTCATTTTTGTAGACTGTAGCTTTAAAAAACAAAAACAAAAAAAACAAACTTGGCCCATTGTAATCACTATGTATCTCATAGTGACCTCACTCATGTTACCTAATTAATTTACTCATCTTGCCTCCCTTTAGAAACCCTTTCTCCTTAGGAAAGAAAACAAAGATACTCCCACCTCTCTTATTACTCTGAATTCTTCTGACAATACCCTTTGCCTGGAATGCTCAGAGATGAGACAAATCTGAATTAATTTTTGGAAGGAATCTGTACGTTAGTAGTCTCTGGCCACCTATGTTTCCACTCTCCTGTGCTACCCCCATTGTAGGTTCTCTCTATCCAACCAGCATGCGCATCGGTGAAGAGGGGCGCTTGGCCGTGCACTTCAAGACGGAGGCTCAATTCCATGGCTTGTTTGTGCTGTCACATCCGGGTAAGCCCCATTATCCATTAACAGTCACTCTCCATGCAAGAAGGCTGTGGTTTTTCCATATTCGCACACATTTCAGCATGCTTCCCTGTTAGCGTTGAAGCCCTTCATTTCAAATGAATTGTATATGTGCAGTTATCTCCATGAGGGCTTGATAATTGTTCAGCTTCATCTCATAATCCACACATTATTATTATGCATACTTTTACAGAAAATGCAAAATAATTAGAGTAAATGTAAAAGGAAACCCTACTGAGTTCATTTTAAGTGAAGTATTCATTAGATAAAGAGCCTAGGAATAACAATTCATTTCTCTACTTTGCTTTCATTGCACAAAAAAACTTGAATTTCGTGTGGTTGGTTCAGCAGGTGCTTCTCTGTTAACAGCTCCTTTCTAGGTGCTGTGAGAACTTCTACAATAGACTCAGAAGTGGCACTTCACTTTCATACTTAAGTTTCCGGCATGTTAACTAATTTTACTTAATAAGTGTTGGCTAGCAATTTTATTAACTGTGATGGACTGTGCTTTGAATATCAATAAGGCAGTAGTCAATAGAGCCCCATTTCTAACTTTGTATTTTTTTTGTAAGGGACATTTTATTAGAAATAATTTATTTTTCATTTGACTTTCCATATTACTAAAACTGGTTTGCATGTTTTGCCAGAGTGCCAACTTATGTCAGACTGAAAGGGAAAATAGTTCACTTGCCATCCCCGTATCCTTTTCCATGAGCTCTAGCAAAGGAGAGAACAGGGCCGAATATTCGGCAGGAGAAAAAGTGCCAACTTATGTCAGACTGAAAGGGAAAATAGTTCACTTGCCATCCCCATATCCTTTTCCATGAGCTCTAGCAAAGGAGAGAACAGGGCCGAATATTCGGCAGGAGAAAAAGGGTTTATTGTATTTTCATGAGATTGAGCTACAGGAAATACAGAACCAAAAGAATCATTTTGCTTTATTGTAACTGACAGTTCTGGAAGACGAAGATTTCCTGGTCTTTACACTTCCCTTCCACATGTCTACCTTTCTAATAAACTGAATCTTTGTTTAGCATGATTGCAGGCAATCTGATTAAAATTAGATTCCATTCATAAATTGGGTTTGCCCAGCTGTGTGGATGCTAATGGACTATTTTCAGTCAGCTCATAGCCTCGGTGCACAATAAATGCATTCACATCAGCCTTTACCACTCTGCTCTGACTCCCTGCAAAGTAGCCTTGAACAATATGACCAATTATCTTTTGGCAGAATTATAGAGAGGAAAAAAGCACTGAATTAGAAATCAGAAGTCACACATCTTATCCATGTGTGGTCTTGAAAGAGTCACACAGTCACTCTCAGCCCAGTTTCTTCTGCAAAATGAAGATAATTATAACAACACTGCCTCTTTTGCAGGCTTACTATAATAATAAAAGCAAATAATATCTGATAAGGTACTTTGAAAACTCTAAACTGTTATGCACTCTTCTAATTTAACCACTGTGCCATTATTGCTACTGGCACTTTTCTAGCATCCTATACGAGCTCAATGATCATGTCAGCTGACCATCCCGGGCTTACGTTTTCCCTCCGCCTCCTGAGGAGTGAACCAACCTATAACCAGCCAGTACAGCAATGGAGCTTTGTCTCTGACTTCGCGGTGAGTGACTAAGACTCTTACTTAATTTTCCTATTTTGCTGCTTTCTGATCACATCTCAGATATTTAAATGGAAAATATATATGTCCTCTTCTCTCCTCAAAGGTACGTGACTACTCAGGCACCTATACTGTGAAACTGCTGCCATGTACCACCCCATCACATCAGGAGTACCGCCTGCCAGTCACCTGCAACCCCAGAGAGCCTGTCACCTTTGACCTTGACATCCGATTCCAACAGGTTTGTCTCGTAGAATTATTATTATTATTATTATCCCATGACTTGTAAAATCCCATTTTGGTAAAGTCACGATTCACTTTTATCTGTAAAAAAAATATTTCACACAGAGATGACTTTAATTTTTGCACGCTGAGAAAAAAGGAAGTCAGACAGAAGGAAGCAAAGGCAGAAAGAAAGAGCAAAGAGTTGCCCTTTATCTGCTGTTCGTTCAGGATATGAAATTCATAGTTTAAGTGTATGCAAAGGTTATTATTTTTATCTGATCTTATCTGGTTTCCTCTTGGAGTTTGCTGCCTTGGAGATTTGAGAGTTTTCCCCAGAGTTCTTCATCCCTCCTTTTCTTATACTTAATCTGCGAGGAGAATGAAATCTGATAGTTCAAACCACCTCAAAGTACCTACTTACCATTATGTATTAAAAGAAATGCGATGGCACCTTTTGTCCAAGAATTATACTAAATGTTGGCCTTCCACTGACCATGGTATTTGTAAGTCCTTTATATGCCCCAATATACCAGTGGAAATGAGCTCAAGCCATACTATTTAGACCCTCTCAAAAAAATGATTTAACCTCACCAGTTTCTCTAGAAGGACAAAATCAGTATTACAACTCTTGAAGTTGGCTTGGTTGGACACGAAAATCACAGTGCAGTGTTAGTATCCTACATGCAGTGTCCAGTGAAGGTGTGTGTCTGTGAACAGTGTATTTGTGTACTATCAGAACCATCAACAATACATAAAAGGGCTTTTACACTTGGTTTTAGGTCAGTGATCCAGTGGCGGCTGAGTTTAGCTTGAACACCCAAATGTACCTACTGTCTAAGAAGAGCCTCTGGTTGTCTGATGGATCCATGGGATTTGGTCAAGAGAGTGATGTTGCTTTTGCAGAAGGTATCACTTTACAAATGAGAGGGCTGCTCTGTTAGCCACGCATATCTGTTGTGCTTTGCTTTACTGGTATTGTGTTTGAAGGAAAAAGACAATTAGGATTGTCTTTTACGGTTTTGAGACTATAACTGAGTCTTCATCACTTTGGCAGCTATGAAGAGTCACTGAAATTGGGTGTATGTTACTGGATAGCTTTTTATTCTGGGGAACCAAACTTCTATCTCCTTTACTTAAATGACTTTTGGAGCAACTCTGTTTTTTTTTTTTTTTTTTTTTTTTTTTTTTCCCCAATTTGTATGGACTCAAATACTACAGCTACCTGAAATTGTAAATGCCTCACAGGCAAAGATTGTGCCTATCTTGTTCAATAGCATATAATCAACACCTAGCAAAAATACCTAACACATGCAGTAGAGGTTCAGTAATAGCTTTGAAATAAATGATCACATACCAGGGGTTTTTATTAAACCCTCTTTCAAAAGCAATGAAGTTAATTAGGCTTTTTATTGATGTTTTCTTTCTTAGTGTTAGTCTATGTTGCATTAGTTTACATCTTACCAACTCATTTATTTATGTAAACTGAGCTTTAATCACTATGGGAT